TTTCCAGACCTTTCAAACCTCTCCTCCAGTGACAGGGGGACACATTAGCCATTGACAACTCTTCAAAGGACAATGATGTGGACCCAACTGTACCTGACCTCATCACAGCAGTCAGTGTAATTGTAAGTTCATTGGTGTGGTAAACAAAAGTTTAACTGAGCTCCACAATAGGAATACACACACATTCTGAAATATCTCGCTTTTTTTTAGATTAATGAGATAAGGTTTGTATGCGCTTTTTTTTTTTTTTTTAGAATAATGAGGAAAGGTTTGTATGTTTGCACAGATAAAAAATAGAAATGCCTTACAAGTTCTAAATTCTGTGAAGATGATTATGTACCACATCTGACAGCTGACAAAACGGACGACAGCTTTGCAAAAGTAAACCACCACAAGGGTAAGAGAATACCCCAGATGAAGTAGAAGTCACAGCAGAATCATCTTCAGCTAGTAGTTTTGCAGTGACTGTTATGATTTGAAGAAGAAAAAAAGATGGTGGCATGTGGTACAACAAAAGGTTCTCCTGTGCCTTCTGCTCAAAGTCTGTCAGCAAAATGGCAAGTAATTCAGAGAGTTGTTCTCTGAATTCAGAGAAAAAGCGCAACAGTGTCCACAACAATCAAGTAATTCAAGAAGTAAAGGAAATGGTGATACCTCGTCAGCTATCCAAGACAGAATATTACAATTGTTTAATCTTCTGATTATATGAACTGAAATAGTTTTAAGGCCTATTTGAAGAGGAAATCCACTCGAAGGCACATGCAGCGATGCCATCTATAAGTATGAAGGTGGCTGCGCTAAAGCCAGGGAAAATCAGAGTGCAAGCTCTGTGTGCATATGCTCGGCCAGTTCCTGAACCTTTTGGAAGATCCACTTCAAAATACCCTCTATGGCATTTAAATTGGGCCACAATCTAAAAAAGGCGATAGTGATTTGAGTAAATGGAATGCACCACAACTGAAAAAAAAATGCACCAAAAGAAGGAGTGCCACACAAGACTTAAAGAACATCCGAATAAGAAAAGCTGGGCTGAACTTGCCAAAATAACTCCTGTGTGATTTGATTTTTTTTTTAACTATAGGAGCACTGGGATTCCAAAACAGCCGTGAGAGCAGTCATTCTGACTCCTAGATTCTAAACTCTATAATCACTCATGATACATTCCCAAATCAAATATTGATGGGTTCACTTTGTTAAGAAATCTTTAAAACAACAACAACATAACTCAGAAATGTGTATTTTAAAACTTATTTAATACTCACATTACCCTAAATCCACGGCTCATTGCAATTATTCGTAGCAGCCTTATAACCATATTTGGTTAGAAAATATGGTAACACTGAGAACAACAAAAACAGCAATAACAATAAACACAAAAAAATACACTGATATATTTCCACTATTTATATTGATGTGCACCTCTGTTCCTCAACCTAATTCTCACAGGCAAGGATGGTGGCAGGTGATACCTCGTCAGCTATCCAAGACACCTGTAGAATCTTCTGATTATTTGCACTGTATTAATTTTAAAGCCTATTTGAAGAGGACATCCTTTTGGGGGCATATGCAGTAAAGTCATCTGAGCAGGAAGGTGGCTGCTCTAAAGGCAGGGAAAACCAGAGTGCAAGCTCTGTGTGCACATGCTCAGTCTGTTCCTGAACACGTATGTGTAGCATTTTGGAATATCCATCCATCCATCCATCCATTTTCATCCGCTTATCCGTTACCGGGTCGCGGGGGCAGCAGTCGCCAGCCAAATCACACTGCACCATACCAACCCCTGATAAACCTTCCTGCGGGTGGTGAGATCTTGCCCAGGAGGTGAACCCTGGGGTTCCACACCAATGACAGAGAGATTGCCTCTGGGCCAAAGCGCCACCATTTTGGAATATGGTAAATAAAATGAATGAAGATGAAATTAAAAACTCTGTCTGCCAATACAAGATCATATTAGAATTTGGTGAACACCTCTTCAGTAAACTTCGTCACTACGTCACAAAACCTGATTACGTAAGACAGACAATGCAGGAAACAGGACTGCTCTTCCAAGGAAAGAAAAATGGGAGGTTGAAGGTCATGTCCGACTTCTTGGTACCAGCTCATTTTAAACTTGTGATAGATGTCAAAGTAGAGATCTTCTGTCTCGTCTGTGAGAGGAAGCTTGTGATAGATGTCAAAGTAGAGATCTTTGTGTTTTTGGTCTGTGAGAGGAAGTGAGAACCAGGAAGAAAAACCCAAACTTCCTTTTGCATCAGTGTGGCTAGGCTTACTTTTCTATACCACAATATTTTGATTTTCATAACCATTTAACACAGCATTTCAGTTCAAAACAAATTCACTGGTTCTATCCCCACCCCCCTTTTTTTATAGAATTCTGCTGTTCTGGTGTGAACTTCTTTTTTGGTCTTCATGTGGCTTTGTAATGGATGAGTGACGTGGGATTATTCATAACAATTAACTGCACTGTATGTACAGTATGTGTGTGACCGTATGTGTAAGGATTTAGTTATTTAGGCAGTACAATCGATTGATATACACACAAACACATAACACACGACAGTTAATTATTTTTGCATAATACCTAATGAAATATCCTCCATTGGCAGGATTATTTCATATTCCCTTTAGATTGTCTTCAGGGAATATTTAGTAATGATGTCTTTTGTTGCATTTATTTATTTATTTATGTTTATTTTAAATCCCATCTCTTTAAACCTTCTCAAACCCTGTTGCTATTTTCCTACTGAGTCATTTTAAATCAATTTAGCAAAGTTAAAATGTAGTTAAGATTGGCTTCAAAAGAACAACCTTGTCCTTTACCTTCTCATGTGACTGGTGTCATGAGACCATGAGCCACTGGACTGCATCCAAAGACAGCCATGGAAACAAATTCCACTGTATTACATACAGTAGATATATTCTCTCTCACAGATAAACATCTAATTACCCAGGTAATCATTTTGCCCAGTCATGTGTTCCTACCAGTGAACATGCATTTGTAGATGGGAACACACCCAGACACAAAGTCGGTGTTAGCACAGATCTCTTGATTAAAAAAAAAAATTACAGATTTGGTTAATCAATACTCATTTGAGCAGATCAATTCTTTTGTCAATACAGTATTCTGAACATCAGTAACAAAATCAATCAAATCACTCATGAATCCTATCTGATAAATCGGTAGATGTGGTTTATGGTTAATTATTATTAATACAGATAAATCAATCTTCAAACTTTTCTCTATATATCACTTAAACAGAAAAACGCCTCCATTATTGAATGAATTTAAACAGCCACATTTCAAACAAAATCATTTTTTGCAACACAATAAATTGCAGGCTCTCGTGTAATTGTACTCTGACCTAAGTCCATTTAAAGGCCTTCGTTTATATGTTGACCCCACCACTCTTTGTACTATTTTCTATGAAAGGTCATGCAAAGGTAACAAGCTCGGGCAAAGTAATAGAGTACATGCAAGTTTGGGTATGTTCCTCTTTCGGAACCATGACGAGCTGTTTTGATTAGTTCTGTATAAAAGGAGAAACAGAAAAAAAAGGGACAGGGAGGACCATGAAGAGAAGAACGGTTTAACTGTAACCTAAGTCCAACAGCTCCCTCTGTTGTCACTCAGACATTCCTTTGTTCATTCTACCTTTATTCTCCATTTTCTTTGCAAACTTTTCAAACACAGAACGTTTTTAGTTAACAAAACTCCATTCTGTTTTGAGTGTGCATCACAACCTGAGGGGCCACCCCGTGTGTTCACTGTGTCCTTTCTGAGCCCATCTTAAAGTATGGAAATCTATTTCTGTCAACATCGTCTAACTAAAACAAATGACACTATGTATATAAAAAAAAAGTTTCTGCTGCCATTAGATTCATTAGATTTTAGTCGCCCAGCAGTCTTTCAATCTGTAATTAAGACAAATACACTTTTGTATGTAAATACAGACAGGCTTATAATGGTAAGCAAACACATTCCAACACTACCCTTACTACTTTGCACACTAAACCAAATATTAATATTGGTATTAACACTGTAAACCAAATATTAATAATACTTGTGTCACTTCTAAGCAGCTGTTGCCGCTCCCCAAAAATAAAAAATAAAAAAAATGTTTGAGCTATACAAAGTTCATTATAGTCTTTGTAAGTGACTCCACAACAAAGAAGCTGCACACAGAGACTGAGAAATAGTTTAGTGATTATGGGGGGAAAAGGTGAAAATACTCTTCAATAAACTGCGTAGCTTTTTGTAGCCGAGTTGAGGAAACAGCCAGCGCTTCGTCAGTTCTTTTTATTGAATAGTTGGCTCCATATATCAGATAAAATAAGAACAGCAATAAGGTATCTTTCTCGCTCTCATAGAAAAAAAGAACACAAAAGGTGTTTGTGAGAGCTTAAAAAAAAGACAAAAAGGGTAGAAATGGTTGTTAGAGGGAGACGAACCCTTAAACGTGCAACAGTGTGCCACAATGTCCGCAAGACAAGACTGGACCCAGAGAGGGAGAGGGTGAGATTATTGCCTGCTTAAAGAACAGCAATCTTGAACTGTGACATGAATACTAAAGGCTGTAGAACACTCACACTCACAACACTCACTCTCATGGTGTGCTGTGTGTTTGCCGCACAATCGAATCGTTTTCCAGCTTCCACGAAGACCCGGGAGCACTGTTATTCGCCAACAATAGTCCTCATTCTAGCACATTCACAAATGCGCTTAATCTCCGCAGCAATTAAGCATATGATTTCCCCAGACACACCGTAAAAAAAAAAATCAACGCCAGTTGTTTATGAACTTTTTACATTTTCATCCTCTGTTGCGTGGATTGCGTGATTACGCACTGTATGTTGTCGACCGAATTCATAAAAAATACACTCTTTACGCTCTCAAATTTTAAAGATGCTTTTGCGTAAATGAGACACTCATTAAAGCAGAGCTGCCAGAGGTTTGCACGTAGGCACAGATGTACCAACAACGACGAGTTCGGTCTTCTTACCTTAAAGACGTCTGAAGCGCAGCTGGTGTCTCCAGTGAAATCCCCCCCAGAAGACATAAGGCGGTTGAAAGGCTCGCTCAGATCGAGTGTCGAACACATCCACCGAGTCAAAGCGACTCCAGCGTTTTTTGGTGTGGAATGGATCGGAGCCAAGTTGCTTCTCTCTGCTCTGCTAACGTTCTTTACGCCTTTCTTGTTAATTCCAAACGAATGTGGTAGTTATTTGAAGAAAAACGCAAGGGGTTTTAAACAAATACACGAGTCGTGCCTCCCTGTCAGGATTTGAGACTGAGGTGACGAATATGACTGACGTTGGTGATAAGGCGGAGGTGATGATGGAGGGTGTTGGAAGAAGAATGAGGAAGAATCACCGCAGCGTTATCCTCGGTGTTCTGTGGGCTTTCAAATACGTCCCTACTGCTTCGTCCTCGCTCTAAGAGTTTTAAAGTCTGAGTTAGGTAATATGGTGATGAAGAGACAGAAGAGAAGGAGAAAGATAGATCGAAGGGAGGGGGGCGGGGGGTCGGGGGGTGAAAAGAAGTAATGGAGCCGTGGGGCCGGTGAATTTTGAGAGTGAGCATTTTCTATTTTTCCATATTCTGGTCATTTCTCAATATTGATGTAATTATTGGATTTATTCAATTCATGTGTATATATATTTTGAAGCTGTCGCTTCTGTAAGTTCAGCTTCTAAAATGAATAAAGTAGTTTTGTGTTTGATTAAGGTTGGTATGTCATTTTAAATGATTTTGTAGATTATTTTGTCTCTTTAGCCGTTTTCACAAGTGCATAGATCAATTATTGTTTGATTGCGCTTGATTGTTATTACCTGATACCATTCGAATCTCATGTTATGTGATAATAAATCACGGAAGTATTAATGTCAGAAACAACTCCAAAAACAACAGGCTATCTGCAATAGGCTCCTTTTTATTTGATTCAACATCTTTTTCTTTTTTTTACCATTATTCCATGCAAAGATTTATTAACAATAATACAAATAATACTTTTTGTAAAAATCTAATGGTAGCTCTTTTATTTCTTATTTCATCGAGGTTGGTAGTTCATTTTAAATGATTTTGTAGATAATGTCTTTATAGCAGGTTTCGCAAGTGCATAGATCAAATTATTGTTTGATTGCGCGTGGTTGTTATTAACAACAACATTAACATGTTAATCGTGGCTTCAGTGAAAATCTTGCTGTATATTGAAATCTCTGTGACACCGAGTGCTATTTTACTAATGTAAGTTGCATGCCAGTGTGTATATCTCTGTGTGTGTGTGTGTTTGTGAAAATTGAAAATTGCCTAGTGTTTTGGCATCAAATGTGAAAACAATTACTATGCGGACCGCAATGCAGGGTCAAGGCACAATGTGTAGTGAAATTGTGTGATCCCGGTGTGATCCTAGTGTGATTCTAATCTAATGCATCTCTGTGTTTTAAAGAGGTAGATAGATAGATAGATAGAACTGTATCAATCCCTCGGGAGTTCTCTTTGGGAAATGTAGATATCATACTGAAAGCTCCATTATCTTATAACTTTCTATATCAACTTTGTTTGAATTATTGTTTCAAATAAAATTAAAAGCACACAACACATATTATTAGTTATTTCATTTGATTCTACTACATCTCAGACTTCTGAGAGTAATTTGATACTCACTAACATCTACGGTGTGTTTAGACTGTTTAGACAGTTTACAAAGTTTTTTTTCGGCTTTGCCCCTTTTTCAGGGGTTGCCACAGCGTATTATTGTTTTCCATCTCTCCCTGGTCTCTGCATCTTCTACTCTGACTCCAACTATCTGCATGTCCTCCCTCACTGCATCCATAAATCTCATCTTTGGCCTTCTCCTTTGTCTCCTACCTGGTAGCTCTATCTCTAGCAATGTTCTACCAATGTATCCACTGTCCCTCCTATGCACATGTTCAAACCATCTCAATCTGGCTTCTCTAGGTTTTTCTCCAAACCTTCCTGTCTGTGCTAATGACCTCATTCCTGATCCTGTCAATCCTTGTCACTTCTAAAGAGAATCCTAGCATCTTTAACTCTGCCACCTCCACCTCCGCCTCCTGTCTTCTGCCTATTGCCTAGTGTCTCTGAACCATATATCATGGCTGGGCTCACAACCGTCCTGTAAACTTTTCCCTTCACCTTAGTCCTGGTCAAAACGTAGATAACGGGGATTTTAGCGTAGCATTTGTTATTAA